CAACACACTGCTCATACCACATGTCATGTGATTAAAACTTGTTGCAGATAAAAGATTCTTTACATTCGTTACCCAATTTGTGTGTCCTTTCTATCATATAAAAGCATCATTTCATAACATGTCTTTGGTAAACAATACGAGGACATACCTAAAAGTCTTAGCCAATATTTATTTACTTAAACTTGTGAATTTATACTAAGAGGAAACCTGCCACAGTCACCATAAATCGTTACATTAGGTGCGCTCATCTTTACCCCAAGAAATTTCTTACATGCAAATAAATTAACTCTTTCTTTGTGGTGAGAATATTGAGATCCCCAACTGTCAACCCGTATAAAAGAATCGGACTAACTTAAGCATCAAATATTCTGATAAAGGATGCGAACTTTAAATCTCCAAGTATTTTTAATTCTTCAGTATACCTTTTGTGCTTGAATAGATGCATACTTTGCATGGGTTGACCAGGAAAGATGATTAGTAAATATACACTTAGGTCTTTATATGAGGTTGTTGATTCAATCTGATTGCCTTTTTTCATGTCGAAACAATTTACTTCCTTTCTTGAAAGTATTTACTTTTTTTTACTCATGTTCACATTCAGTTTAGACTGTTAGCAATAACTTTCTAATTTATTAATTTGTAAGACCAACAATTGTACTTGAAATAAGGGCAATGACATCTGCAAACAAAATAAAAGAGAAAGTTGGAACACATCTGGATGTAACTGAATGCCATTTCTGCAATTATTTTCAATTGTCAGTACACAGCCTTGTCTAACACCAATTCGCACATCACAAGATTCTGATATATTTTATTTTTTCCTAACACAAGCTTTCACTTTCTCATAAATGCTGCTCATTAAGTTTGTCATTTTACTACCCAAACCATATGTTTTAAATAAATCCCATAGCTTATGTCTTTGTACAGAATCAAAAGCTTTTGAGAAATCAACAAATAGTGTAAAGAATTTACCCCCCTAAATATTAAGATATGTACAATACTCTGTAGAATGAACATGTTATCAATAGTAGTATATCCCTGTCTAAAACCTGTCTGTGATTCATTCAGTGTGTCCATTGTTTCCCCCACAAAAATCAATCTGTTGTTAATACGGTGATGACTCTGTAGTTATCCATATTATTCAAATATGCTTGCTTATGTAAAGGAAACTATAAGTCCAACTGACCATGTTTGAGGAAAAGTACCTCTTTCCAATTTCGTTAAATTGAGCACAAGCTCAAGATATGGTAAAATGGTATTGGTACTCACCTATGATTGCAATTTTCGTGTTTGGGTTGGATTGGAAGAAGTCTTCATATTTCTCACAAATCTCATCCTCACTAAATATCGGAAATTGGATCTCCATCTCAAATGTGTGAACTCCTGATATCGGAAGAACATAATCAATGGATATCAAACAAACGTGGGTATGTTAGTCGGACTTCACCATGTCACATAGTATTACCACACCCAATTGTCAACAAGACGCACATGGAGAACACTTTCTGAAGTCATCGTATTGTTTACAGTAGCATTGTGTGTTCAATATGTTCACAATAGCATTGTGTGTATTATGCCTCACAAGTTGCGAATTGTTTTTCTTATTATTTGGAGTTTCTGTGGACCTCCCCTGATTCCCCCAATATTGACATGTATATAAACACATTACACACACACACACACAAACCAACAAAGTCACAAAAACCAACACATCCACGTACACACCAATACATTCACATAAACACCAACATATTCACACATACACACAAAGTATCAAACAAATACACACAATCCCAAACTCTTACAAGCACACAACATATACACACAAACCAATACACACAGACCTACACACACACACGCACACAAACCCAAACATATACAGACAAACCAACACTCATACCGGCACACAACACATACACACAGACCAACACACACAGACACAAAACACATCCTTCCATGTGTAGTGTTGAACATATTCTGTTCACGTAGAGGGATTGGTTCAAGTTATCATACCGTACCCCGCCACAGACTGACGTATATTCCTATTTACAAATAACGCCTCAAACGTCAGAAAAGAAATTTAGAAATACAAAAAACGTATACGTATACGTATGTACATTGACATAGCAAACTCAACCATTCATGTTTTTTCACACATGTGCATTCATACAATGTTTCGTTCACATGACTAGGTAAAGATGAAATGTCAACAAGCATCATATCAGTATCCATGTCACGTGAACCTTTCACAATTCACAATATTTAGTGAATCTATGAATTCATTTCTAGTCAGTTTATTAAGTATACATTCAATGAAGAAATGATATGAGTGTCACATATATCACCACATCAGCAGTTTGTGGATCCGCGTTCCAATAACTAAATATTATTATTTTTTTCAATTTTCCGCCGCCTCACCCTTAAAGAGATCCGCTGTGGCCTGACAGGTGTAGGCTACAGGCCTAAATGTCAGAGTTGTGTACATCAGAATATCCCCTGGCTTGTAAGGGCAGCACTTCAGCACTGTGTTTATACCTGTGGTTAAATGTATCATGAAATACACAATGCCATTTTAGAAAGTGGTCAAATGTAACATCTGTTATATTTGGGATTACACTTTTGGTGGAAGCCGCTGTGGCTGAGCGGTCTAGGCGTCCGACTTTGTGTGCTGGCGATTAGGTGGGTACCCATTACCGGGTACCCATTAACTGCATGGTGAACAAAGGCGTATTTAGATAAATGACGTTTGTCTAAGCAGACATCACATGGATTATAAGCGCTAAAGAGTGGAGAAGGATCGAGGCCTTGAAATCCTAAGAAGCCATCCCAAACCCTATCTGCCGGGTACCCAGAGTAAACTAAGACATGTTAAGGTAAAATGCTTCTGCCCAATTGGACACAACATGAGCTACATGGGCCACACGATCACCCATCCAAGAACCTCCCTAACCGCCCACCCCTGTGATCAACTTAAACGAACAAACATGATGGTGATATTAGATCATGATGAGGAATAACTATACTGAAACAATTATTGTGATGACAAACCCGGAAACACATCCGGTGTAATCATGGACTCGAACCCACCCTGTACGAAAATATTAAGTACTCCAACAAGTGAGATAATTCAGGAAAAGGAAACCCTGAACCAACCACTATCTGCCTGACACTTGTCCCCAACGTGTCACTGAATGAAGGCGCCAAAAGCTCATTTGCAACGTCAGACAGATGGTGCTATTACAAGTTCTACCTGCGGTCGTATTCTCCACAAACACCAGATCCTCCTGCTCACAATGCATAAAGTCTGCTGCTGCCTCCTGTGATTCCTGCCAGTACGTGTAAGCATTCCTCCTGTACCAGTCATCGGGGTGTCTCTCCATCTCATCCAGGTATCTGAAGTCACCAATATACAATTTATATGGAATTTGCTGTCTCAGGCATGTGAGTCCGATGGTGAAAATAAATCTTTTACAACACTGATCGTTTTTTCCTATATGCTAAGAAACAAAATTGAATAACTTGGTGTTAGATCACACACCCAGCCTTCCACAAAAAGTAATCCGCTGCAATTTACCTTCGTTGCACTTGTTGGACACATTTAGGAACAGCACCAAATGATCCATGGTTGAGAAATATCTCGCCTTTCTGGAGAGAAAACTCTTCTCTAATCCTTCCCCCGTACTCTACAGCTTCATTTATACCTTCCAGATCCATGCTGTGGAGAAAAACACAGATATTGTGAGTAACATTGTTGTTCATACAGATGAGATAAGAAGTGATATGGTTGTGTTGTGAGTTGACCTTCCAGCTTCATGCTGTGGAGTTAAACATGGATATCCTTAGACTGTGAGTTGAGATGACAGTTTCACTCTGTGGCGATAAACATGGATTTCAATAGGTTGTCAGTTGACCTTACACTTCAATGTTGTGGAGATAAACATGGATATCATTAGGTTGTGATTTGAACTTCTAGTTCCATGCCGTGGAGATACACATAGATATCATTAGGCTGTGAGCTGACCTTCCAGCTCGATGCTTTGGAAATAAACATGGCTATCATTAGGCTGTCAGTTGACCTTCCAGTTTCATGCTGTGGAGATAAACATGGATATATTTTTTGGATGTGAATTGACCTTCCAGTTCCATATCTTAAGCTACACAAATATTTAAGAAATATGGCTTAATTGCTTAATCACTACTATCGTGATAAAGATTATATGAACAAGAAAATGGTTTACTCAGATTGTATTACAAGCTTTCAAGGCAGTTTCATAATATATCATTTTACTACAAAATGTATTAAAATGGGAGATATACCAGAAATACAACAAACAAAATGTTAATGGAAAATCTTCATTTGTGTTCTCCCTTGGACATATTATGACAGACTTAATTCAGCTGATATTTCTCCAGATATTTGTGGAAAGTGGGACGCTGTTTGTGATTGATCAATACCATGGAAGAATGTATTTTTATAAGAAAATGTACAATAAGTGTTAGGATAAGAGATTTGCAAAATGGATTGATACTATGATACTAAAATAAACAAAATATCAAGAGAGTATTTAGAATGAAACCAGTTTCTGTGACCATGGGAAAAAACCCTGTGTTAGATATTTGGTGCAAGCTGTTTGTAAGTAGTTACTTACTATATCATATTGACATATACAAATTCGCTGTTAACATTGCATTGTAAGACAAATATACATATAAACAATATTATGGAAAAAACACGGTTCAAAATAATTTGTAAATTAGAAAATTAGAAGTGTGAAAGTGTGAATACCAACGATCATACCAAAAGTTTTTACCAACATTATTATGTGTCACTGAGTCTTTGTTTTTCTCATGCTGTTGATCACTGCATTGTCTGGTCCAGACTCGATTATTTACAGACCGCCGTTATAGTAACACAGGGATGCAATACGGATAACGTGGTCAAATTCCGTATTGCACCCCAGATTCCGTATTGAACCCCTGCCGGCTCTGCCAGTTTTGTTTTATTAAGTAACAGATTAATGCAAGATAATAGGGTATATAATAAATATAGAATGTCATACTAGTGCATTTGGATGTTTTGTATTGAACTGGAAGATGTCATGGGAGGAGAAACAACTCGTTCTTCGAACGAGCAACTACTATTTCCGGGGTCACGGGCGCATGCACGGTCAATCAGGTTCTGTGATATCCCAATTACATGGTCAAAAACACACACAAACATTCATATGAGCTATCATTAATCATACTTAATAGTCATTGGTGTATCACGTGTTTGACAGACGAAATATCTCCAAGATTTACAGCTGATATTCAAAAACGAAAGATTTTTAGCAGACAACCCCTCTCTGTGACATAACATCCGGTGACCTTTGCACTTACTCGAAAACTAAAGTTAAATTTCGCGATTTTAAGTTTCGTTTTTACCTCATCATATTCAACTGAAAATAATAAATGAAACATACGCGTACCGAACATGCAACACGGGTTTTATGTGTGTCATATTCGAAAATAACGAACCATAACACTTGATATTAGGACTGGTGAATATTCATAAATCCTGTCTTAAGTTCTGCAGTTTTCGTGACATGACACGTTGGAATAAACTTAATATTGTCATTTGAACAAAAGATTGTAAGAAATCGAAAATACGGTTTCTTTTCTAATGTTATTTTGCAGGAATGTTTTTTATTTTGCGACACGCTGATATTTGCTGATAAATATATACGAATTTTAATTCAGTTTAAGATGAAACATCAGCGATAAGAACATTGAAATCGGTTTGCGCTGATTTAACGAGTTATACAGGTTTCTATTATGAAACGCATTCCACTGACAATCACATAATTCAGGTAAATTCAAGAAAAGTTACATTCTTTATGTTTCCATTGGCCTTAACCTCTGTATATTTAATAATATCAGGATATGTTTGGCTCATAAAATTCTTTTTTCTATCTACATAGTATTACTATGCAACATATTGGTTCAGTTGTCCCTTTTTTTAATTGTTGAAATCACCCACCCTCTTAACGGCGCTTTATGCTGGAATTAATTCAGCAAGCTAAAGGTTAAAATATGCCAACTAAAAGGTATTTACCCTGGTTTCCCCCGACCTCAATGCACCATTTTCCGGTTAAAGGACACTGATCCAGAGCAATTCCCACGGACTGGCTATTGTTGTTTCTGCCTCAACTTGAGCCATTCGTGACCCCTCTGGAAGGATTTCATATTGGCGCATGAACATCAGGACTACTTGAAAGAAGAACGCTAACTCTATCCCTGTTTGATCCCAATGTTTCTTAATATCACCGAAGCACTCGTGCATTGTATTGTTGCTGTTTTACTTATTTATTGTAAAGAACTAAACCTCTTTGATACCTCAAAAGAAGGAGAAAAACATATTTGTTAAAGACATATTCTAATGTAATTATTACCAGCTGTTCAACCTGATATTTTCAATTATATTTCTAAATAGGGTTTAATAATCACAAATGGCAATTGTTTTATTGAATATGCAAATAAAAAATTAAAAATTCAGCTACATTAAATCCCAAAGCGGATATTCAAAAGGACTTTAACATATTTCTCAAACTGAACATTCGTTTAACCTTGCTGTCATACCCTGGTGGAAATTTTAAATGAATTTGCTGAAAAAAAAAAATGAATGGCCACAAAATGTCAGACTAAAATATCCCCCAGAGATGTAAAATATAAGCCCAGTGTTAAAGTTGATTAGTTTCATTCACATATAATATTATTGTTTTGAAACTCGTAGCGATTTATAATTATATTTCCTAAAATGTTGGAAGCGCACGTACAAAACAAGCCCGCAAGATCGTCAGAAATACACTCAGTTGAACCCATGAGAGCGGTTATGTCAACAAACGCATGTGCGTGTATTTGAATCTCTCGCCGTCCATGGCACTATCCTTACTGAAATCTAAACAAGAGACAGCACAGTTCTGTTAGGTACGTTCTTTGTGCTTTCAATATGTATATATTTTTGTTAGTTTTTAAGCAAACACATAATGCAATAACCGATTATTTTCGTATTTTCGCACATAACAAGCATCGAGAGACGAGGACGAGTCCTCTTGCGGGTTACGGAAAGGGGCGAGTAGTGACGAATGGCGCAATTGGTTGTATAAGTATGATATGTATATCCCGACATTAATCAACAAAAATGAAAACTTTTTTACTTACTGATATTTCCATCAACAAATGAAACCATTTTGAAGTTTAACTTCATCTGCCAGAGGTAATATATGTTAGCACTGAATAAAAACGAAGTCATTGTACGTCTTCATATTTTTGTCTTATAATTCTAATTCAATTTATTATTGTATTTTATGCATTTCTGAACTTCATAAAAGTCCCACGATCTCCTTTAAGCGAATTTATAACATGACTGTAATATCTAGGCATTTTATTGACTGCCTTCGTGAATCATATTTCACACACTCGCCCCTTTATGTATGCTGTCTGTCTCGTCGAACTTCACGGTGAAAACAAATGAAGTGGACCGATTCTGTTGGATGCTACAGCAATCGAATACAAATATTTAAATCAAAACCGCCATCTAAAGTTAGAGCAATACTATCAGGCTATTACCTCATTCGAGGAATATATCCATCAATATCCACATAATGGAACGATATGCCATTCATCTGCAGCTGACAAAGAAACCTGTTCCATGCCATGTGTCTTTCAACAGTCTTATGTGCAAACATGTATAAATCGTTATAACAAGTGATGAACAGGAACGGCTTTTCGGTGTAGATGCTAATTTTCACCCTCACATCGATTGCAATAAAGAAGCTGTCTATCCATAAATAATCGTTCCTGATTAGCATACCAGTTTCTAAATACCATTCAAAGAAGTAATAGCTAGTGATAGTTTCTCAACTGGTCACGTGACTATTTCGGATTACACGTTGGTGTGTAGTCTCATTGGTCAACAAAGATAGCACACCTGACAACTATTTGCATGATGTCCAGCACTCTTTTGAAAGTAGACTCTTCAAAACAACACAAAAGTAACGCATAGGCCAAAAAAACCCAAAGGAAATGTATTAAACGTATTTTATGTGTACAAAAGTCGATTGAGCTTGAACATAGATGAAGGAAATTCGACACATGAATGAACATATGTATTGTTGCCATTGTCAGCATTAATTCAGTTCACTAACTGCACATGTGTGGACACAAGGGAGCGTTCAGGTCAGTACCTTGTGACACCACCCGTTGCAGGGGTCACTGCTCGTCACCGCCTTGGAAAGGACTGCACAAGTCGTCGGATTTTTGCTTGGAAAACTTTTCGCCATTCCTCCTGCAACCCGTTGGCAATTTCTGAAAGTGTCTGAAGACGATGGTGACGTTTATGGACGCGTCGATATGGTTCGTCCCATAGATGCTCGATCGGGTCCTGATCAGGCGATTTCGAAGGCCATGGATAGACAATTACGTTTGCATTGACGAGATAGGCACCTGTTACACGAGCTGTGTGGGGTCGAACCTTGTCCTGTTGAAACAGCTCCCTCTGGCGGTGAAAAGTGGGAGGAGGTGAGGTCACATGATTTGGTCAATGTAGCGATTTGCTGTAAGATTGCCTTGAATCACCACTAGCTCTGATCTACCCGTGTAGGACATGGCTCCCCATGCCATGGCTCTGTCTCCTTCAAATCTGTCCACCTGTCGAACGCAGTTCGTGTTGACGTCGACAGACGTCTCCCATCCCGTCGTTGCAGGAGGAAACGCGATTCATCGCTGACCAAACGCGTCGTCAGTTCCCCAGGTTGCATGCTTATACTCTGTTGGACTATTGGGCACGCGTCGTTGTCGGTGTAGTCGTTTCAGGACAGGTCCAACTGTTGGTGTCGATATGCTCCAATTCGCACTTCCCTCAGACGATTTCTGATGATTTGTTCGGAAATTCTTCGAAGACCAGGCACCTGTCTGCAGTGTCCGTTGCTGTAGCCAATCGGTGACCTTGGTGAAACACCCGGATGAATCGGTCTTGAGTAGGAGTGGTCACTCTTGGTCTTCCACTTTTGGGATGATCTTGGGTCGAATTGAAACGGGTATATCGATGTCATAATCGAGATATGGTGCTTCGGTGGACGTTGAAATGGCACTCCCCTGCTTCCAAACGTCCAATGGCGATATTTCGGCATTTTTTGTATCTTCTCTTAATTCTTTTAATAAAATTCGTAATGAAATGATCAATTTGGTTTGGCCTGTTATAGTCGATGTCTCTACTCACGTGTCCGTCACACTGCACGTGCATTACGTGGGAAACAATTCTGCATGCATATTCTATGTATCGTTTTCATTTATTATGACAAACGTTTACAAACACATTTTGGGATGCGTTTGCGCGCAATACACAACAACCACGACATGATTAACGGGATTCAAACATAGGAATTGTCTTAATGGCGATTGCTGTCAAAATACATCGAAATGAACTGCTGACGTGGATCTACCCATTATGTTCCGTATGTTACTAGAATTAGGTAATTCGTAAGTAGTCAAATCTGAAATGTTCGGAGGAACACAGAGGGATAAGGATTGTGGAGCCAATCCATTGACCATTTTATATAACATACACAGTTTATGGAAGTATCTTCTTTCGGTCAATAAACTGAGTCCAGTTTCCCTGTATATACGTTCGTGGTTTGTGCCTCTTACCGCACCACAGATAGTTCGGAGAGCGTCAAGATGTAAAGTTTCCAGTAGGTTAGATTGTTCGTTTGTACAGTTATCCCAAATGTGATCGCAGTAATCAAATATAGGAAGTATGCATGATTTATAGAGGATGAACAGTGTTTCGCGCTTAAGACAATATTTTAGACTCAGTAAACAAGTTATGGGAGGGCAATTGGGATCATGCCAATTCCCTTCATTTTGAAAGGTTTATATCTAAATGTTTATGGCTGTTAACTTCTGATATTCTAACACCATTCATATATAATATAGAACAAACTTTATGGATAACAACTGGCTTTTTATTCGTGAACTCACGAATAAAAAGAAGTTGTTATCCATAAATGTTCTATATTGTAACTCAAAGAAGCAAAGAAGTCATTCATATATAGGTGGAATTTGGGACTGGAAAAATTAATTTTAGTAAATGGCTTCGGTTTGCTCTGGGCTAAATTTCACCTGCCACCGTTTTGAACAATCCGATATGGGAGATAAATCGTTATTCAGTAAGATTGAGGAATGTTCTGGGTCATCAATTATTACGTACAGTGATGTATCATCGGCAAAAAGCTTGATGTTACTGAGAATACCATCAGCAAGATCATTTATATAGATAAGGAAAAGAAGCGGTTCAAGCACTGATCCTTGAGGGACACCGGCTAAGACTGGCCGCTGGGTAGATTTAGGACCGTTGATAACGACAAATTGTTTCCTATTTTGTAGGTAACTTTTGAACCACTTACATAGGTTTCCAGTTATTCCCGAGGACCTTCATGCCAAACACGGTCAAAAGCCTTGCTGATATCACAGAACACGGCTCTAATCTCTTTTCCCTCTTCAAGTGCTTTACATAAACTCTGATACAAATCAGTTAGTTGATACGACGTAGAATCGCCAGGTCTAAACCGGATTGAGCACTGATAATCGTATGATTTCATTGGAAGAAATTGTAAGTGTGTTTGAATGTGCACTTCTCAAAGACTTTGGATAAACAACTTGTTAAAGCAACTGGTCTATAGTTTGAACATATAGATACGACGGATGCCAGTTTCCATAAATATTGAATTGTGAAAGATGGAGAGAAAGGTTGAATAGTTTGGTTAGAGGCTTGGATAGAATAGTTGAAACTTTTCGAAGGATTTTGTTACTTATGTTATCGGGGCCATTGGTTTTATTTACTTACACTCACCTCATTGTCTGTCAGTTCAATTCCCTCCAGCATATTTAGACTATTGGGGAGGTCCGGTACGGCTCTGTCGGGTTCATCTACAGTAGCTTGTTCAGAGAAGGAGTCGTTTAAAGCTGTGGCAATTTCTTGGTCGTTGTCGAATATATTATCTTTATAGATGACAGTAGGAAACTGATTATTAGAACTGTTTTGATTTATATACTTTGTGACTAGACGCCACCATGATTTAGAGCCGATCTCCGTTTTTACACTATTATCTAATTTATTATCGTATACGCGTTTTGCTTTCCTAATTTCTGAGATCAACCTATTTCTAGCTATTCTAAATTTCTTCCAATCGTCAGGACGGTTCCGATTTTTAGCAGTTTTGTGCAATCGAGTGCGTTTTCACATAAGTTCCGCAAGTACTCGTTCATCCAAAACAATCGTTTGGTTGATCAGTTATTTCTTTATGTGGTACATATTTATGAACCTTGAATTCTTCTGTAATTCTTCTTGTCGTTTTGGAACACATCTAGCCAATCATTGGCATATATGCATTGATATGACCCATCATAGTATGCACTGTTATAGTCGTAAATGGTCCGTTTATATGCCGCTTTACGTGGTTTTTCATATTTAAGCTTAATAAACACAGGACAATGGTCACTGCAAACTGGTGCTAAGACTCCAGAGGAACTAGTCAGACAATGACATGTTGTAAATATAAGATCAATCAGTGAACAAGTTGTATCAGAAATTCTTGTAGGTTCACTTATAACCTGTTTCAAAGTATACAATAGTTTCAAATTATCAATTTTGTTAATCCATATATTATACATTGGAGTTAAACTCATCAACTATAATCGCTTTGCTGTTAAGGTCAACGGCCATAGAAAGGGATTCTTCGATTAAATCCCAATAGTGAGCACTCATATCGGCCCTGTAAAAAGCGCCGACAAGAATATTTATGTTCCTAATTAACATCTCTACCCATATTGCTTCTAAGTCAGTGATGTCTAAGTCATTAACATGTTTGAAATACAAATTATTTCTAACGTAGATAGCGACCCCTCCTCTCCCCTTGTAGGTCTATCCTTTCTGACAGGTGGGTGATATCCTGGAATTAATATGTCTTTGTTTGGTATACTAGCATTCAGCCACGTTTCAGTTATACATATGATGTCAAAATTGTGAAATTCAGTAGTTACCGGATCTATCTTTTCCCTAAGCCTGCGAATATTTAGGCAAATAATGCTAAGAAAATGTGTATCGGGCCCATGATTCGGATGAATATCTCCACAGCATAATAGTAAAATCGCGATTGTTAAGAAGGTACGAGTCCCGATCGTCAAACATAGAACGATACAAAAGCAAGTGAATTTATCGTATTTTTTCCGAGTGATGTTGTATAAGGTTGATGCAACCTGCCCAATTGGCCAATTCATAAGACTTAGGCCTATATGATAAATTGATACGATATGACCCATTGTGAAACAGACAAAAATAACAAAATAGTGTGAATTGTGAAATGGTCACTCAGAGCCAGAGAAACTACAAATTAGTACCCCCCAAAATTGGTCCATTTGAGGCCACTTAATTCCTCCAAAATGTCAGATATGAAACCATTCTAAAACAGATAAAAATCTTAAAGCATTTGGTAGAGTATTTGGCACTTTTGGAGCCACTTATAAAGATACTTCCACTTGTAAAATGTTACACAAAACCAACAGAAATAAAAGTATATTTGGCATCTTTAGAGCACATTTTGTTGCTATGGAAATCACGGGCAGATAATTCAAAGGAAGATACTCTGGATGACCAAATATATTGCAGATTCTGAACCAAATCGCGACATTCGTATCGCGAGATGCTGTACCGGTATAAACCGGTTTGCCGGTAATATTGCAAAGGCCTAACTATGAGCAATCAATCAACGTATTGGCGGTTAATCCTTTGAAGGAAGGACGTTGTTTTCACACATCCACTTTTCGACAAAGTGTATTCAGTGCACGTTGGTAAATGTTCATACATAAACGTTACCTTTTGACAAACCGCGGTGCAAGATAAAAGTGATTTATCAATCAGCGTGTTATCGGTTAATCCTTTGATCGACATTCATGTTTTTAACTCAGCTGATGATTCATCTTGCTGCACTGTATGCGTATATTACATAGCATGTTATACATTTGCCACATCAGACCTTAACACATAATGTTGAGTATTTACTCCAGACACGAGAAGTGCTAAATGGCAACCTTTGTCGTGTAATCTGAGTGGAATCACCACTAGTTGTACCTGTTATAAATTCATTAAATGACTATCAAGTGAATGATGACAAATAAACAGGTGTAAGTTTATACTACCAAACATGGGTTACAGCAAAAGAGTAGTAATCGCTGTATTGCATGCAATTGTAATAATTGCCTAAGGTGTCGACGCTGTTTAGAGGTTACGAACGGAACTTCAGTGTTGCATAACAAAATGAAAGTAGTTAGTTGTTACAATTCTGACAATATCATCAGAATTCATGAATCATTATTAAATACAGATGATACTAGGTAAGCGTATCCTGCCCAACAGAAAGCATCCATTATAAACACATGCAAAGGCTAGTCAATTCTTCACCTGGGAAAAAAACAATCGGCAAATTGTGGCACAAGTTAAAATAGAGATTTGCATTGGACATCATGATATATCCAGTTTTGAAATCCTGACAAAAAGTAACCTACCTCCAATAGGGAGTTTTCCAACGGTTTGGTTTCCTACTGTGGTTTTCTATATTGATAAGCTAAAATCCCAACAGCCAGTACGAAGTCCTGGATCTCCTGTTTGTGTGGAAGCAGATGTTAAGTGATCTCTTTTATCAGCTTCACTTTTACGCATCCATTTATTATTCCTACGCGCGAACCTGTAACGAAGTGAACGGCACAAAACATAATCCGTTAACAAACACAATCAATTTGTTCAATTGTAGCGTTATGAAAAATAGAATTACATAAATAATTATTTAGCCATTTGAGACCATTTGCAAACCTTGAATGAAATATTACAGCAGCTGTTCGACAATTGTAAAGACAACCATTTAACTCAATATGCATCAATATAGAGTCTTGCATGTTGAGCACGAATGTATCTGGGGATGTTTGGGGTTTTGGTTTTGCTTGTTTTGTAAATTTTATGATACAAAATGATTATATTGATTCATTGTTTGTCCTTTTTGTTATATCCTGGGATGAGAAGTGTTTTTGTGTTTTGTTGTTTAATGCCGCATCCAGAAAAAATACAGCTATATTGTTGCCGAAGACCCGGATCTTCAGAAGCTAGAGTCAGTGAGTCAGTATGGATTTACGCCGCCTGTAGGAATATTTCAGCAATATTAAGTCAGCGAGTCTGACCACCCTATCCCGTTAGTCGTCTCTCACGACAAGCATGGGTTGCTGAAGATCAATTTTAACACGGATGAGAAGTGTGCATAGAAAGCTGCAACCGACCTTCTTGTAACGTCCGCTAAGATCTGCTGTCCAGAAGACAGTAACGTGTTTGTCTGCTTAAACGCAGCCTTAGCATAACAAGCATATTCTGGACTTCTCAATGATAACATCTGTATGAAATTGGAGATGAGAGCGTTAGGAAGTAAATAGGCGTTCTAAGGGGCACCAATTGTGCTCATCCTGACCATTTTACTTTATGCTGATTGAACAGAATTTCTGCTCGGAATTTAAATGTTAAAAAAGTGATTTTCACTAAAATTCGTGTGTATCAAACTCTGAATGAGGTCAAATAGCCAGTTCCCTTCTATTGACAACGTGAACTAGAATTAAAAAAGACCGAAAAACGCCCTTTATGTCGAGAAAAGGTCCAGCAGCTCTTGAAAGTGTTTGGATGCTACATTTTATAGCGGTTGACATTAGGGCTGGCAATCGATAGAGATGAAGGAGATCGAAAATTGATAACTGAATATGGATGGATTATCGAGAAATATCGGGGAAGTAAGTGTGAGCACAAATGCCGAAAATAGTCTGAAAGAAATCAAAATATTGCACAACACAGGTGAGTTGTGACCTATTCATGCTTGGATGACGGACAAAACAGCGTCCAGAACATAATTTAGAAGCAGCCCCTTCACAACGACCTGTGGGTGTATTGTCCGTGTTAATTTCATCACAATAGTTTTCGTAAGATATTATCGATGACACAGTTTTCATATCGATAATCGTTCTAATTTTCAACGATGTTTCCTGATTATCGACCATTTTGCCAGCCCTAGTTGAGATCTTAAAGAGTGTAATGTGACTTTGCTGAAAACATTTAAAAATAATCATAGCTCACAATAATATTTCCTCTGTATGTTTACCAGGCTGATACATTCTGATATCCTCTCACGTGCATTGTACCACATAACCATGGCAATACAATGCATATCTCATGGTCTATTACTGACAAGGTTAAGAGGTGATTTGACCCTGGCATCCTGCAACAAACTGCACAAACCAACGGATGGTCATAAGCTTGAACGGGGTGAAAAGGAAAATAGATAGTTTCTGTATATTATATAAAAAAAACAACAACGTATTATTACTTTTTACGACAATGAAACACCACGTGTTTCTGTAAATATATATTAGAATAATTTAATAGGGCGAGATACAAATTAATATGTTCAACTGCAATATCGTAATATGAAATAAGACTGTGATGGTTCAATCAAAAATTATTATCATCATGTATAAACACATTTTATTATCTTATCAAACCAATATATGGAAATGTGTTCCGAGCTTTGCACACGGAACGTTATATATAACTTTTAATTTACTTGAAGTATGTAGGCCACAGAGCGCATGATACGCTGTTCATATAATACAGGTGTTACAGAGGTGATTTGCGTAACTGCATAGTTAACTTCATGTTTTGAGGTTGTAAATGAATGAGTGTATGTTTTACAAGAATCATGACACAAAGGTCAACTTATTTTGACTTAATTCGGCTAATTTAGAGCGATATTAAAAATCATTTTGGCCCATGGGCGAGAATATATACTTTTACTCAAAATACGTGTCTTTCCATGTTTTGGAGTTTGCAAAAGAATGAGTTGTTTATAAGTATCATGACTTAAAATTGAACTCATTTTGACTTAATTCGGCTACTTTAGAGCGATATCAAAAAATCTCGACTATGGGCGAAAAACATTTTAGCCCACGGGCGAGAATATTTACTTTTACTCAAAATACATGTTTTTCCATGTCTTGGAGTTTATATATGAATGAGTGTATGATATAAGTATCATGACAAAAAAAAAATTAAATTTAAACAGTGGTCCATGGGCGAGGATGTTTAGTTTCGCTCCAGAATTCATGTTTTGGAGGTTGTAAATGAATGAGTGTATGTTTACAAGAATCATGACACAAAGGTCAACTTATTTTCCGGCTTAATTCGGCTAATTTAGGCGATATTAAAAAATCATTTTGGCCCATGGGCGAGAATATACTTTACTCAAAATGCACCGTGTCTTTCCGTGTTTTTGGAGTTTGTAAATGAAGTTGTTTATAAGTATCATGACCCAAAATTGCACTCATTTTGACTCAATTCTGCTAATTTAGAGCGATATTAAAAATCTCGACTATGGGCGAACAACATTTTGGTCCATGGGCGAGAATATTTACTTTACTCAAAATACCAGTTTTCCATGTTTTGGAGTTTGTATATGAATGAGCTGTAATGTTTATAAGTTTCATAACCAAAAAAAAGTAAATTGTTTGGACTTATTTCGACTAATTTAGAGCGTTATCACATACACTCTCGCCCATGGTGAGAATCTTTGTTATTGCTCAAAAGACATGGGTTTTTTCATGTTTTGAAGGTTGCAAATTAATGAGAAAAGTACGTTTGCTCAAAAGTATCATGATACAATCTTTTGACTTAACTCGGCTTCAATTTATAGCTCTATAACAAATATATCGGCCATGGGGTGAACATGGTTTATTTTACTCAAAACTCAGTAATAAATGTCAGTCAACAATGGGAGAAACGTTCCGCAGACTTCGAAACCCGCCACTTTACTAGTGCTGACGTATCGTTTTAAAAAAGGAGAATACGAACCGAAAACTCGTCTTTTGATATATTATAAAGGATATTCTTTAAGTCACATTCCGTGATTAAAATTGATCAAAAATTTTGTAAAATAGCAATAAAAAACACAAAACGTACTCGTATGTCCGCCTATTATGGAAACTTACCCGATACTTAATGATCAGAGGGGTATCACGTGACAGGTTTTGCACGTGCAGTTGATCACGTGATCTTCGCATCGAAGTTTCTTCATATGCACGAGTTTGCATTGGCCTCAAGAATTAAAAACACTTTGAAACCACAGTTCTAACGGTACTTGAAATGCCACTATTGTCAAATGTGCAACGTGAACGTGCCGTTGGTATGTTACAAAACTGAGGAAGATCAGTTATTGACGTCGCAAAGAGCAATCGGATGCGGACCGTCGTACTGTATGTATGACTTGCGAGGTCGTCTACAACAAACTGGCACCACTTCTGATCGCCCCAAGGTCGGGTCGTCCACGTGTGACGTCACGAGCAGAAGACAAGTCAAATCGTCCTACGTCACCTACGTGACAGATTTCTGCCGGCTACACGAACCAGGGCTGAGATGTTTAGAGGTCGACTGTCCTCCACAGACCATTCGAAATCGGTTGCGGCTGCCAATCTCTATTCTCGACGTCCATATCATTGGGCCAATATTGACGCCGTTTCATCAACGTCAACGTCTGCTGATGGGCCCAACGTCACCTCCGATGGACCCAGAGACTGGAATCGAGTCGTCTTTAGCGATGAATCAGGTTTACCCTCAGATTCGCGGACGGCAGGCATAGAGTCGAGACGACGTCGTGAACGGTATGCCCAATGTTGTGTACAGGAAGTCGACAGATTCGGGGGCGGAAGTTGCATGGTGCGGGTGCTCTGTGGGAACAACCGTTCCCGACCTCTGGTCATCCGTGAAAACCTCACAGCTGCTAAGCGTTGCCGCGACCAGGTGCTCACCCCAGAACTCGTTTCTTTCAGGGCGGCTCATGGCCCAGGTCTGCGGTTCCAGCATGCTAATGCTCGTCCGCATACCGCGATGTTGACACGAGAATTTCCTTCAAAACGCTGGAATCAACGTCATGGACTGGCCATCGAGGTCCCCTGACCGTTATCAATAGAGCACGTTTGGGATGTGCTTGGGAGAAGGCTTCGTGGTCTTAGGAACCAACCTCAGAATTTGCAGGAACTTGGCACTGCCTTGCAAGAGCAATGGTGCAGAATCCCAACCACTTTGTTCACAAGCGTCAGGCAGTCGATGAGGGAGAGGGTGTTTGGCGGTGGTGAATGAGTGGCTTGGGCAGCCATACTAGATATTGAACTGAGAATTTCGCATTTTTATTCTTGTGACTTGACATTCTGTATACCCATGTTTTTTGGAACGGCGTGTAGGCTAATGGAACTGATTATGGCGCTGTCAGTGTATCGAGTACATCACACAGATCTCAGCAATGAAATAATAACAATTTAACCATCTTACCATCTCTTGTTCTTTATAGTGCCCTGAAGAAAGAATGTGAAGTTTCTTTTTGACTCGAGTATATGTTTCTGATGACTTTTATCTTTCACCCAGCAAATTATTGAAATTCACTCGTATTTTCGTTTAAGATGTTCGACCCTACTCCGCCCTTGTTACATCTTCCGGTACGATGATAGCATCAATTCTATCACAAAATAACCACAATTCTCAATAATGGGTTTGTTATACATGTCTTGTTAGAAGATGCATTTTAACCTTATAATATCTTCCGCCAGTGGACAACAGCTGTTCACAGCTCGGAATAAGTAAACATGAGAACACATGGTCGATATGTAATAAACTACAATGAAATTTACACAAGAAGCAATACAGGGAGCACGTAACCGGAATGGAACATGTTGATCAATTTGAAAGAATTCTGTACCATACGCGAAAATAGCAAATGTGCCAAAGGTACACTTACGTACTTAATGAAAGGGAAAGAAAATGGCTCTTATGTTACTTCGCAATACCACAATGCATGTACACAGCAAAACCCTATTTGAGTTAAAGTTCACAAAAGTAATAACGACAATTAAATGTCACTTCATATGATACATACATTCACAAACGGAATTCACTGGCACTATCTTGGTCAGGAAAGAGGCAGCATAGAGCTGCCCGGTATTGGTACCAAACTCCACAACGAAGTGTCAGTGACGAAACGACACACGGCCTTGCAAGATCCCACAATTCGATCTTGGGATGGAGCCTCGTGGTAAGATGAAAGAGTCGTAAAGATGAAACATTTCGTTTGTCTGAGTATCAACAGACTGTCGAACGAAATTGTTAGAGGTAGAGTGGAGGAACAGTTTCATTAACGAAATGTCAGTGGCGAAAAGCACAGCCCTCGCAAGATCCCACAGTGCGATCATGGGGATGGAGCCTCGTTGTAAAGATTAAAATCGTTCGCACACGGGTAGAATGTCACGGGGCAAACATGTCATTTGTCTGATATCAACAGACTCTGTCGAACGATGTTGTCAGAAGGTAGCGTGGCGGAACAGCTTTCATCAGCGATGTTAAAGGCGATGAGAGGAACCATGCTCATCTTGTGGCGTAATGGCGTGTGCAATGACTGTGCCCGAGTATATAGCGGTCGTCGCCAAATGAAGTGTGGAGCCACAATGATTAATGATGGACAGTGGAGGTAGTGCTCGATTTCTGTCCGTGAATAACGTGGGCTATGGAGCAGCAACACTTGAAAAATTTTTAACTCCCAACAAACAAATGTGATGTATGTGAAGCGAGGTATATAGTGTATTACGGTAGAGAGGCATATGTCACCATGGACTACAACGACCTCTTCTGGACACAAGCGGAGGAGGTAGGTATAAAATCACTAAGCTTATAAATAAAAAAATACGATACTGGCGGACAATGTCGAATTATAGGATGAATAATTATCCAATTCATACTCTTCTTGTATCTCACTTAATATGGAAATGACATAAAAGAGATACCCGTACTTAGTCATAGAAATCATGGACGTGGATCTGTAATCGTAGAAGTGAGTGAGTTTAAATTTACAGTCACATCGGCAAATATTTCAGCCATATCGTGACTATAAAAAAGGAATACATAGCAATAGATAATATTTGAATATAAATCTGGTCGACAAAAGACAGTAAAAAACTAGAATATCACAGATTTGAGATATAAAAATAGCAGTTAACTTACTACAATTTTTACTTCATATTTGGGACAATACAATATAAAAACGGGCTATAGATCGCCAACAACTGCACGGAGATCGCCATATGAGGGACCATGGGGACTTACATTAGTAATCGGAGAAGAGAGCATAAACACTTAAGACTAGGACATTCAGTAAATGCTTTGGTGGTGTAAAGACGAAAAGGAACAACATATATAAATATATGTGAGGGATTGAGGGGATACATTGAAACACTGAACAAAATAGATCCTGCAGTAAGTAATATTGAGGAGAGCAACTGGAGAATAAGGTAATATAAGTAAACAAACGGACTTATCCATAATATGTGAGGATAAAAGCAAGTCCGAATACAATTTAGTGTCTCTACAGCAATGTATCACGATATTTTGTAAGAATGAGTATTAATGTATGGCTGAAAATCTCCTGGTGGCTCATAGTAGTTATAATAGAGATACAAACATGAAGGTATTTCATATGATGAAAACAGAACACAATATTCAACTTTGTTCAGTACATGGAGCATTTATCGAATACGACCGCCTCTTCATGGTAGGGTTAGAGCGGAAGTCGGCAGTGGTTCGATCCCCGACCGCGTCATACCAAAACACGTTAAAATATGGGTACATGTTGGTCCCCGCCTTGCGCTTTGGCAATAATGGGTACACCAGGACTGGTCTGGCTCGGAGTCAGTATAATGTGTCTGAGTGGGGGTATTCATGCTTCACTGCGGCATGGTATCTCAGTGAGCTAGCACTATATAAAACCAGCTTAAGTCTGGGCTAGTATATGAAGTACACACATATACATGCATGCACGTGAGTCATGTGCGCGTAATATTCTTCAAGATGCGACGATTAAACCCAATTTCACCTCACCTTTATCGGATACTCATCACCTATGGAAATTCTTATTTTGTACGATGTTTATAAGACGCGACAAATGACTGATCGTGTTAATAGGTTGTTGAACTTCATCACAAGTATGAAATATGGCGTATAGAAATATTAACACGGACAAAGAATATGTCACGTTTGTCTACACATGCCAGATTGCAAAGACTGAGAGGTGAAAGTAGTTTTAACAATGATGGATGGATGCTGACGGCAATATGGATTAAGGCCAGGAGGTAATGGGAAAGCTGCTCCACAATGTGTTGGAGGACCATCCATTAGTTTGTCTGGTATTAAGAAAACTCTTTAACCAACTGATATATATCTTCCCAGAAATATGTAGATTGTGACGAAAATTTGTGAATTTGGAAATAGGAGAATGAAAATGTAAGTAGTAATTATGTAAGAATGGAATTCCCGTTGAATATGAAACCGGGTCAAGATAATTTCAGCCGCTGATAAATGTCAAAATCTCCTGGGAAATAAGGCGTTAATCAACTTGAAACTTCTCTAGTCCTTTTTTCTGAATGGTCACTTTATTATCAAGTCATAAATGTGGAATTTTAGGAAGCATAAATTTCGAGGAGAAATTGTAAATGTTTCTATGAAGGTTTTAATGCTGCCTATTATGAATGCTCATGTCTATGGCGAATTCATCAGCCTCTCCAACGCAAGTGGCAAGGAACGTTAAATATACAAATCTGACAAGCTGGACGCTTCTCAACGCGACCATTCGCAAGTGAATATAATAATAGAAGCTGTTATGCCAAAGCCTGGTCTGTTCTGAGAGCCATCGAACGAAGCCCATTTAATCTGAATTTATCCCACGTGGATTTAATTTCGTGCGTTTGCCTCCTTATGTACGCGACATTTTAGGCTCTGGAATCTGAAAAATTGGACAGTGTTTTTCGTGTTCATCATATCACGTTTTGAAAATCCTTTGAGCGATAAATTCAATACTGAACCTGGTAACTCTTCGCTTCTGAAACAGCCCAGTAATCAGGTAAAATTCATAACCTGAGTGATATGCGTAATTGATTGATTAATACGTAAACGGAATGAATTAATTCGATATACATCAAGTTGAGAGTGGAATGAGTTTGGATAGGAGACAATACGCGAAATTAAAGTGAGACTCTGCAATGCACAGGAGAACAGTGAGCAGTACGTTCCTCTAATAACAACTATGGATCCTTTTTGAGCAACGTGAAACAATGGGTATTCCACTACACTGAATCGTTTTTTTAATCATATTTAAAGCTAACTCTTTACTTCCTTTTACTAGGAGCAAAGATGGACTGACACGATGATTAACTGTTGAATTCCCAAATACATTTCACCAATTTCTTGTCCAGATAATTGTCAGGAATTTTATTTTGATCAAACAAAATCTTCATTGAAATAAAAATACTTTTCTCCACATCTTCCTTAATGTGTCTATGTGTCGTTTCAATACCTGTTAGAACCGATGAGACACGTTCATTTAATTTAGACAAAAAAGACGACATTTGACGAACTTGCACTTTAAAAGCACGAGAAGTATTGGTCACATACGACTGCAATATTTGTTTGACATACGCTCTAGTCGTTCTACATATTCGACTGTTGAAAGGTGCCAAGAAAACGACTAATTGATCCAATAAATAAATGAACGAATTGTTCAGAAGAGGGAGTTTTGGGAATGTCAGCTACTTTATTAGTGAGTATCGACAACGGTTCTGGAGTATATCCTTACTCCTTCACCAGGTGCAGAATGGTATGAGGTTTCCGGCTTATCCATTGTTCATCACCTATCACTACTTAACTCTTAAGTGCTGGCTTCCACTTGTCATTTCGCCAATCACACATCAACGCCAGTTAACTGTTGGTTTCATTGTTTAGCTTGCATATCTGTTAGTCTCATTACTTCGTTGTTCTTGCGTGTACATGTTAATGCATATCTCTGCCTCTATATCTCATTCATTCACCTGATGAAGGAGTAAGGATATCGATTTGTGTTCCCTTATAATAAAGAAGTTGACATCCATTAAACTCTCATTGTGTATCATTTTTTATGCCAATCAAGCATACGTATTGTTAAGATAATGGAATTGGCCACCACTCTTTGTTGTTATCGTTTACTGCAGATTCGGCATCAAGGTGGGTGGTAATGCACAGACCCGTAAGGATGTAAAGAGATTAATCGCGAGCGGCTTCGCAAGAGTGGTGATTGGTAAAGTTAATGATGAAGAGCTAAGCCGGGAAGATTGCGGCCGGTAGTTCAAATAGCAAGGCCAGAGGCTGGAAAAAGACAGGGCATAAAACACATTGCTACAAGGTGTATTACCGAATTTTGAAAAAAATATCGTAACTCTCAAAGTTGCAGGTTAAAACAGATGTCTGGTTTTGAGGATTCCACCTACCAGAAAACAACATTGTCCCTACCTTGAGGTGGCGTTTTCAATAACTATTTACGAAAACAAGAAGGTGCCGGAAATCTGTTTAATTCTGAAAATGCAACCCGTGAGAGATCGGGTTAGGGTGGTCTTCAACCCAACCCATGCTTGTCGTAAGAAGTGACTAACGGAGGTCGTGGTGGTCAGACTCACTGGAGTTGGTTGACATGTCATCGTATCCCAATTACGCGATCGGGATCGATGCTCATGCTGTTGATCACTGGATTATCTGGTCAGACTCGATTATTTACAGACCGCCGCCATATACCTGGAATATTGCTGAGTGCGGCGTTAAGCAACAATAACCAAAGCAAACCCAACCAAAGCTGAAAATGCAACTCACTACCAAAACGTTTGAGAACATTACTGGAATTATGCGTCGGTATGTTCACAATTCTGTGCCTTGAAGCCTAGAACTATTTTGTCTAGGGTTTCCTGCTAGTTTGAACGGCTTCCAGGAGACAGTCTGCCCCAGTCAGCTTGTGCTCCTCCATCGTGTTGTATATCTGGCTACTGATGCGGAGATGTAAGATGACCCTGGATCAACTCCGGTATGGCACACTGGATGTTGTACTTGTAGCGTACGTCAGTGGAATGCTATCGATCCCTTCCTGTAATTTAAAATGGCATGAGCTATTACGCTTTAGAGCTATGCCTTTGGATAAATATTAACAATGAACGGTAAATTCGACTGCAGAATTATGCTTAACCATTCAGACCTGTGATGATCCGGGTCAGAACTGGCCTTCAGTAACCCATGCTTGTCGTAAGAGGCGACTAACGGGATTGGGTGGTCAGGCTCGCTGACATGGTTGGCACATCTCATCGGATCCCAAATGCGTGGGTCGATGCTCATGTGATGTAAGTAATCTTGACTGTCTTGTTCCAGACTCGATTACTTTCTGACTGCCGCCATATAGCTGGAATATTGCTCAGTGCGGCGTTAAAGAACACCAAACCAACTTAACCATTAAGATGAAGAATGGCTTCCGTTATATTCACGTTATCTTTTTTTTATCCAGAAAGGGTATCTAAATTTTAAATGATATGAATATGACTTTCATCGTCGATTTAACATATCAAAGAGACACAGCGTCCTGTGGAACGGAATATAACCAGAAAATAGAATGACTATATGTGCTCTTCTTTCAATGAGCGCCCACATAAAAGGTAAGAAAAATTACAGACATAATTTCAGGATGACTGTTATGTCATTACACTGTTCACCTTAGTTTTCTTATCTTGAAAGACATCCATGTATACCTGACTCAGATATAAATAGAGTTTCTTCGTCTATTTCACGAAAGCGTTTTGTAAGTAACACGTTGACTAATTGTGAGACGCGCTGAAGTACATTCTTAGAGCCACATAGTCTTCCATCGTCTTCACAGCAGAAGCAACCGCCAACACCATATTAACAACTCTTAAATATGCTCAGCAGCAGCAAACAAAACGTCACTGTGTACGAATTCAAAATTAGATAGGCACTGTAATCAAATCATGACAGAAATGGACATTATAAGCGGATCAAAAGCATTGTTTTGTGTATAATCTCTTGACACATCAATGAATAACTCCAGCACAATTCAAGACATTATGTGAACGTTTGCAGTCCATTCAGACTCTGATTACACAAAGCCGTCATTAGATCCTATATCCGTGATCTAATGCAAAAGGAGTAGGAACCTCAAGCGGGTATTAATAAATTACATGCAATTAAACCAACTTATCGGTCACGCCTATATGGGCTGTCAGTCAGATTTGAAGATGTCATTACACGACTTGATGTTGTATTGGCCACAGCAGATACACACATGAATATTTATTTGAAAGTTGCGCATTATCTGTTTTGCATCCCCTTGTGATGAAAGAATCACAGATAAGCATGTCCTGCTTGACTGCGTTGATTTTTCCATCACAATGGATAGCAATTTCAAATTGTTAAAACGATTAGGGATCTTTTTTAAACATGTACATGTTCATTTGATTATTGTTTTATTAAAAAAGAAATTGATTTAATTGATAATTCTCTATTTTGTTTTGTAATTAGTAAAGGAATTTTAATTTGTTAGAATGTATTATTGACTTGGACTATTTGTGGCAATTACCTTCAAAGGAAGAAGCGTAAAATGATTGCCCCTGAGGAGGGTATGTAAGTCTCTCTTCATTCAAAGATTTGTTCATACTACATGTTTTTAATCGTAGAAAAATGTGTTCTTTTAATGTTTACTCTAGACTGGAATACAATCGCCAACGACTGAAGGGATGATGTAAATCCAGCTAGGGTCCACGCAGGTAGCAAAAAAGCATTGTAAGTCCCCATGGTCCCTACTATGGTGATCCAACCCTGTTTGTACATTGTAATGTGTAAGAAAGATTTAGATTCAAAACTAGTGGATCTTCTTCCTGGACAGGATTTTATGATTCAACTCTGTATTTATCATGTCTTTAGTACTTGTTTTAGTCACGATATGGCTGAAATATTGCCGATGTGACTAAAAATATTAACTCACTCATTCTCCCATTGTCATGTCTACCACATGCAAATCCGGGTAAGAATGGGTCTTCGGCAACCATGCCTGTCGCAAAGAGGTAACTGAAGGGATCAGGTAGTCAGGTATTATCCTAGTTGGTCACACATTGGTACAGTGTGTAAAGCCCATTTCTGGTGTCCCATATTGCTAAAAGCGGCGTAAAACTAAACTCAGTCAGTCAGTCAGTCATAGTTGGTCACTTTTCACGCGTTATTACATACTGCTAGGTGTCATACGTCTTTTCCATGATCTATATTCAATTGTAAGAAAGGGTAAAATTTTTGGTAACAGTTCTAAAAAATGTTTATGTGACTTTTGAGGTAACTGCATATTTATAGTTCGTGCATTCTACATATTTGTCTGAGACAATGCAGAAGCTTTGGTATATGTGTTTTACATTACCGCATGTTATTACTTGTTTAGTTTTAATCTTTGAAAAAAACACATTAATTCAAAACCTGTACAAGGACATTTGTCACAGCATTGAGAGGGAATAATGAACAAGGTGTATGAGCCGAAGGCTGCCAGGCTTGAACCTTGCCTCGACAGCAAACAGCCAACAAAACGATATTTTCTTTCTTATGTTTTTATGTCACATTCCGAATAGCGTTTCTTGCCATTGTAATTACTTAAAATGTAAATTGTATTAACAATGCAATCTTCAGGTCTACTTTCTGGTGTTCCGTAATGTCTATGGGACTTTAATAGTAACAAAGCATGTGCACTTCTGTCAATTGTTAAACAATTGTTAAACATTGTTTGATAGGCATTCTAGAAGTTGGTGAGTCAAAAATGAAACATGCAACTTTATGGATGACAACGTTATCAAGCTAAAAGTGCTTCGATGTAACGTCGCTCTATGCAATAAATGACAAGTTGTCATCCATAAAGTTGTTTGTTTCATAATTGTTAAACAGTTGTTTTGACTAAGGGTCCAATACAGAATTTGTTAAGGCAGTTTACTGAAATCATGGGAGGTGCCAAAGTGGCAGTACTCAGAAAGAAGGTGTAGATGTAACAGAATGAATTGAAACCAGAATTGTTAATATTGTTCTTACTAAGCCCGTGCTGATTTTGGGGAAATTGTCTTGTACATTTAATTTGTTTGCCATTTCAATAAACGATGATGCCTCGCGTCAAAGTTTTCTTGCAACTGTATGATATAAGTGGCAAATATTTGGCACGTACTCGTGTACATGGGTACTGAGGCAAGTCTTCCAGACCTGTCTTTGCTGATGTCACATTCCGAATAGCCTTCATTGTCATTGTAATTATTTAAAATGTATATTTAATTTAAAAACACAATGGTGTTCCTAAATGTCTATTGGACTTTATTAGATACAAGGCACGTGTATTTCTGTCAAGTTTTCAACAATTCCTTTGACAATATTTGGGCTACTTTATCTTAAAATTCCTGATTAGATGTTGGTTGCTCTGATTCAGGGTTTTCAAACACAGAAATGCGTGCCTTTTTCACACAGTTTACCGAAATCATTGGGGGTGCCAAAGTGTCAGTAGTCAAAAACAAGGGGTAGATGTTACAGAATGAATTAAAACCTGTCTGTCATTTCAATAAACACATGATACAGGGTTAATGCCTCGCATCAACGTTTTCTTGCAACTATATGATACTTAGGGAATAACCAACAAGGTACGAGTGATTACGGGAAATATGCCCGAGTTGAAATAAAGTTCACAGTGCCGAGCCTTGGCGAGGAACTGAGCACTAATTTAACGAGGGCATGTTTCCCGTAATCACTCGTACCTTGTTGGCTATTGTATTTATTACCCATAATGTAATTCAAAAAGAAGAACCACGAAATAAAAAAACACCCGGAGACAGGACTTGTGACAGCTGATTCGTATTCATGCGCGTATTAAACATAACTTCTTTGGCGGTAAAAACATAAGTACGCTATGGAAAATAGTACCTCGTAAAATCGCTTTAAGATACAACATTTTGTTAACATTTGTTAATATGATAACAATGATCTTTTAAATGCAATATCATTGAACTTAATAACAGCTAAAACGTTATTTGATCAAGTCAGTGCGCCGGAACATCGTTCATTCACGACTGACGTGTGTCTAGTGACGGGTCAATTTTTGGGAAAGTCAACGGTTAAAAGTTGGAAAATCTAAAAGTTAACCATCCCACGAATACATCAAGAAAAAGTATTCTGTCAAGAAACTCAACAAGTCTGAAGATTAAACAAAATTTTGTTCTATGGAAGGCGTCTTACAGTCACGTCAGTAGTCCCAGTAGAGTACAGCAGTTCCAAGAAGGATAACTCTAGTCGGAATCCGAGTCAATGGGAATAATACGCTTCTTTGGAGCAGATGGTCGACTGACAGAGGAGTCATTCGAGATGTTGAAGTGGAAAACACCACCGTAAATTGGACCTGAGAATAGTGCATGTACAGAAGATTTACGGCATGCGACAAAGACTGTGACGTCATGGTTGCAGTCTGAGGCTGAGGATGAGTGGGCCGAGTGGTGGAGTTACAAGGGTTTGACAACAATTTGTTGAATTTGTCAATGAATTTGGATCATGAAAAGTAGTTCCGTCAACCAATCATATTTCTTCTCTGCTTAGCTGACCAATCAACGTTGAGAATCACTGAAAAGCACATGTGCGATTCTCACAAAAATAATCACCTGCGTATCCTAGCCCGTATGGGTAATAAATACAAATGTTTGGCACATACCAGTGTACATGGGTACTGAGGCAAGTCTGGCAGTCGGATCACCCTCATTGTGGGAGACTCCATACTCTAGAGAGGTATCTGTAATGGCTCTGCTTTGAGCTTCTTGAGAATATACTCATGTGCCTCTGTGGCGAGACTGGATGCGTAGCCGATGATCTTATCCTGAAACAGATTCACGACATGAACATGACTAGGTAATTTTTCCAATTGTGTCTGTAAGCATGTAACACCCTTACCTGTTGGTAATAATATGTTTTGAAAATTCAACACATTTTATATACATACAATCCATCACAATCAAAAATAAAAAAGCAATATACATGTACACATTCCCGTTTACATTTTTATGACCTTCTATATCTTTAGATAAATGTTCTATCATCTGCTATATCTCCATGCTTCTTTATTCCATCACAAGGGATAAATATTTTAGTGCAAAAACAGTTAAGGATCTTTTTAGCAGTATTAATTATCATTGAATTATTGAATTTTTAAAAGAAATTGAACTAACTGATAAATATTGATGGCTATATAGATATATATTTTATCACTGGTAGTTAAATTAGCACCTTAGATTGTTAGTGGCAGTATCCTCAAGGGAGGTTGAAGTACCGTAAAATTATTGTCCTCCTGAGAGGATACGAAAGTCCCAAAACATTCGAAGAAAAATTTAATCTTCCACCTTTTTACTTGTAGTATTATTATTGTCATTTTAATTGTGGCTAAATTTGCCTACAATCGCCAGCAGCTGAGATGATGGTGTAAATCCAGCTATGGTCCATGCAGGTAGCAAAGGCATTGTAAGTCCCCTTGGTCCCATGCCAGTATGGTGATCTACCTTCAGTTGTTGGCGATCAATAGCCAATTTTTTACATTGTATTCTACTTTTTAAAAATACATGTTAGCTAGTTTTAACTCTTTTTTGTCATACTCTAGTTAGTTTACAGTCCGTCGATGACTGGTTATTTAACTACTTGTATTTATTGTGTATGTACAACATTTCTCGTCACTACATGGCTGAACTATTGCCGAGGTGACGTTAAATTTTAACTAACTCACTCACTCTCCATGCTTCTCATTGTATTAAACCCTGGCCATTCCCGTGGTTCTCCCGATCCCAGATTACCTCTCCTTGACCTTAACCAACCAGTTTGATGCTTCTCAACTCCAACTAACCAGAATGCTAAACACCAAGAAAGATGTTGGGTTGGCGACCTCAACAACATGGTGGCCCTGTCCCCATTCCATACGATAAGGTTTGCGACAAATACAATCTAGAATATTTCCTGAAACGCTAAAAATCCTAAAAATTATTTTTCGTTCACCCAATTCTCTTTGGCTGGTAAAAACATTGATGTAACTTAAGGGTGGGTAATTTTAGATCGCAAGAATTACAGTGATGTATGTCAGTGGTTTGGTTAGCGAAAAGCATGAGCAAATGAGTTATACACTGCCAGGATGTCGTTCTGAAACAAAACCAAAATATATTCAGCCACCGAGCTGCTGTTAGTTACCATTCCTCCAATCCGCTGGTAGGAATTCAAATGCATATTTGGCGAAGTGGTGAATGGGGTCTGGTCTCTAGTAGCCACTTGGAAGAACTGTTTGTCCAGGGACAGTCCGTGGCACCAGCATGTCACCAGCGGGTGAACCCAGGTATGATGTTCCCGCTTCACGTATAACATTCCACAGCCCCTGGGAGTGAACAGCCATTTTGTGGAAACTGCCTGTATAAGAAATAAACAGTAAAGCACCAAAAAGTGCAGAAATCAGCAACCCGTGAAGATCCGGGTTAGAATTGGTCTCTCATAATTGTCGTAGAGGCGACCAATGGGATCAGGTGGTCACGCTCGCGCTGACTTGGTTGACACATGTCATTTATTACAGATCGATAATCAGGCTGTTGATCACTGGATTTGTGTGGTCAGACTCGATTATTTACAGACTGCCGCCATATAGCTGGAATATTGCTGAGTGCGACGTTAAACAACAACCCAACAAATACAGAATCAGCTGACCGAGTTATTTCTCTAACTTCTAAGTTCCAGTCAAGTGTTCTCGTCACGATATGGTTGAAATATTGCCGATGTGACGTTTAATAATAACTCACTCACTCACTCACTTCTAAGTACGACCACATTATTCCTGCTTTGGAATCTCAACACTGGTTTCCTGCTAAAGTATATAGTTCTCTCTATGATGTTTTAAATGAGCTTAACATTCTTGCTCCAGCCTCAACATCTCTCCTCACAGAATCAACTACAACTCTCTGTTCTCAGGATCAACATCTACTTTCAGTTCCACCTGCTCGTTTCCTTCTTTTGGAGGAGCTTCTATCATGTCGCCCCACATCAATGAAACCCTCTGTTACAACCTATTAAACTATCTACATCTCTGGATTGTTCTTAAAGGAATCGACTGACTGACTGAGTTTGGTTTGTAAAACCAATCTCCAGTCAGTCAGTCATTCACTAGAGCTAATCAAAACAACTTTCACGGCTGCCTTCAAATGATTTTATAGATTTTATATTTTAATGTTTGTAGTTTACTTGCGCCATGAGCATGCCAGTGGACACTGGTACAAAATAAACATCCAATGTTTACATTTGATTATTAAAAACTGGGAACCTTATACAGAACATGTTAACAACAGCAGTACTTCCGGATTTTGGAGATTTGGTTTTGGTGAAGGTAGGGCTTATAGGGTTAGGGATTAAGTTAGTTGTTCTTTGTTCATTATGTTACATTTACAAACATAGACGGGCATCGAGTCAGTCTGATAGTGAATGCGGTCGCCCTTCATGCCGAAGGACTCGATTCTCGATTTTCACGTGGGTACAATGTGAGAATATAATTCATAGGTAATACTGCTGGAATATTATCATAGGCGGCGTAAAACCATACTTATCATGTACACCAAATTCTCTATGATTTAAGCAACACATTGCACAGCTGCAAAACTGATGACAACTGTCTCATTTGCCCGCTCGAAATATTATCCATTTACAAAAATGCTTAAAGTTCTTTTAATTTGTGTTACAATTTGTTTTTGAATCGGAAACAAAAACAATCCGTGAAAACCTGTCCGTATAAATTCTTTATCCTTGGGTATGAGATCCAAATTACCCGTAAAGACATCGGCGCCGAGTTCGGTGAGATTGACTGGAAGTGTACCAACAGCATGTGCACCGTCTACGACGGCCATAACTCCATACCTGTGACACAGATCGACGAGGCGCTTCAACGGCATCACTACAGCTGATGGACTGGTGATGGCATCTGACATACAATTACAGGTTAAGGTCAATACAAACATAAGACAATATTTACGTTATCCAGCAAAATCATTATCTTGGCCATTCATCCGAAGATGCTAAGATGCCGAGAAGATACTAAGATCCTAAAATACCCATGATGCTGAGCAAGTTCCTATTTCATGAGGAGTCGTAGAGCTAAGACTGTCAAAGTGTTCGTTAAAATGTGAGAATCACAGCTCTACCATCAGTTCGTGAAACGGAGCCCTAGCCTTTCTTTGGGTTTATGTGTCTGGTAGAATCGAAATGTGTTGATCATTATTAAGCTAGTGAATGGAACGTTTCGCAGCACTCCGATATCTCAGGTGGTTGCAGTTAGCGTAGCGTTCAGGCAAACTATACTGATATACAAAGAAAGTACGCACCTGTTGTTTTGAGACTATTTATACAACGTAAATAGTTTGCTAGCAATGTTCCAATTGGGTACGATATCTATGGTGTTATTGCAACACGTAGACAATGTTTGCGACTTGTGAGTCGCAATCAAAACACTTTTTCTAAATAGTACGCTGTTTTCAGGAAAACATTTTACCAACCCATCAGGTGTGTACTTTCTTTTGTATGTCTGTTTTAGTTTGGTGGACGGCTAACTGTCCACAGTGTCGGTATACAATGACACACAGAGACAGCATGGCTTTACATTATGAGGGCGATGTTTGACGACTCAGGCGAATCCGATACAACATTGTTCAGAGACAAAAGTACGTCGCCATGGCGGCTGTGGAACATGTGCTTTTGAAGCAGATATTACTAGGTTTGGTCATGGAAACACACTCATATTATACTGAAGGGACCGATATTTGTTATGGGTATACTGTTTGGTTAGTTGGTTGGTGTTTTACGCCGCACTCAGCAATATTCCAGCTACATGGGACCAGACAATCAACAGCGTAAGAGTCGATCTTCACAAATTGGAATACGATGTCAATCAAGTCAACGAGTCTGACCACGCGATCCCGGTAGTCGCCTCTTACGAGAAACATGGGTTACTGAAGATCGATTCTAACCCGGATCTTCACGGGTTCAGGTACTGGTACATGGTTCACGTATGTTTCCATATTACTTTCAAACAATATGTGTTGCAAAGCGTTAATGAGTTCCGGAATATTGGTTACACACATGTTTTAGAAACTGTTGTTATCATTTAATTGAATAAAAGACAAAATTAGTCACAAATGATGTTTCCCTTGGGTTGCTGAAGATCAATTCTACCCGGATCTGAACAGTTTATGGCTATGCTGAACAATACTCACCTATGATTGCAATTTTGGTGTTGGGGTTGGATTTGAAGAAGTCTTCATATTTCTCACAAATCTCATCCTCACTCGATATCGGAAATTCGATCTCCATCTCAAAGAATTGAACTCCTGGGAATCAGAGGAATATAGTCAGTGGTTATGAGACAAACGTAAACCTGTATGTTTGTGGAACTTCTCCATGTCACTAAGTACTACAACATCTACTTTCTAGCATTACGCCTATGGAGAACACTTTCTGGAGTCATTATGTTGTCAATGTTTTCACATAGTATTGTCGGTATTATGCCTCACAAGTTGCGAAATTTCTTCTCATAATTTGGACTTTCTGTGACATTCCCTGATTCCCTGCTATCCCCAAACATATACACACATGTATACACACACACACCACGACACAAACGCACACACACACACACCACGACACAAACACACTCACACACTCACAATCCAACACACATATACACAAACCAACTCACACACTCACAAACCAACTCACACACTTACAATTCAACACACATACACATGTAAACCAACCCATACACACACAAACCAACACACATACATACACATCAACACATTCACACAAACAGATACATGCACACCACCACACACACACAAACCACCACACATGCATGCACACCAACAAACACACATACATACACACCAACACATTCACATCAACACATTCACACAAACCAACAGGAAACAAACAACAACACACACACACACACACACACACACACACACAAACCAACACATATACATGCACATCAATACATTCACACAAACTAACACATACATGCACACCAACAAACACACACCAACACACACACAGACCAACATACATACATACATACATACATACATACATACATACATACATACATACATACATACATACATACATACATACATACATACATACATACATACATACATACATACATACATACACATTTCCACATTCACACACTAACACATCCATGCACATCAACACATTCATGCAAACCAACACACATACCAACCCATACATACACACAACCAACACAAATGCATGCGCATCAACCCATTCACACAAACAGATACATGCACACCAACATACACACACACAAAACTAACACACACATACATGCACACCAACAAACACACATACATACACACCACACATTCAGGCAGACAGACAGACAGACATGTTTATTCGGTAAAGGCCACAGGCCCATCATACAGTCATTTGCATATGATATAGATAGTTTAGTGCACATGCTGTGTAAGAGGAACATTTCTAATGCGCTAGGAATTACATGATACAGAAAAATACTGACATCTCATGATGTTAATAAAATTGGCATTTACATCAAAATCAGTAAAATATTTCTGAATATATCTTAACCTTAAATCAGAAAACACGTACACACTTAAGGAGTACATTAGATTCATCTTCAATCACATTTTTGTCGTCCAATTTACAAAATAGACATAATCTCTCATTGTAATTAACTTTATTGTATCTTTCAGTTTCAACAGCTAAATTGAAATTACCACATTTAAATTTAGAGGAGTGAGATCTGAGATGTAAAGGAATATCAGAATTTAAATACCTTCCACATTTAAAATGTCTTAAATTGGGAGTAATAAAACACTTATTAAATTTTGAATTGAAGTGGACCAACATTGTTTAAGATTATCCGAAAGTCTCTGGTTAAACAAGGATATGAAATAATCAACATTGCCAACATCCTGACTGATCCATGCATAGCCAAAACCATACTTAAATAAAATATTTTTGACACAAGTTGCCCAAGTAGTGCGGCCAACATCATCTTAGGACTTGAGCATAATATAACAATGTTTTGGCAGTCTATCATAAGGCATATACAATAGGTGACACCAGTATTTAATTATTTTAGTCATATAAGTAATTTATAGAGGAAGTCTGCCACATTCACCAAGAGCCATGTTATTACAGGTAGATTTTTACGAACTTCCAAGAAATATTTACAAAATTGTACCTGAACAGACTCAATGATGCTACAATAGTTAGTACCCCAAACCACACATTCACATCAAAACATTCACACAAACCAACAGAAACATACACACCAACACATACAAGAACGAACACATGCATGCATACCAACACACACACACGAGCCAACGCACATGCATACAAATCAACACATTCACACAAACTAACACATGCATGCACGCCAACACAGACACACCAACCAAAACACATACACACAGAGCAACACATACATGCATACACATTCGCACATTCACTCAAACTAACACATCCATGCACACCAACGTATTCATGCAAACCAACACACATACATACACATACACACAAACTAACACATGCATGCACGCTATCACAGACACACCAACACACACACACAAACTAATAAATACATGCACCAACACAAAACACAAATAACACCAGTGTATGAAATAGGACCATTCGATACACCCTTCCTTTACCCCCAGATTCCTCCACGTGTAGTTTTAAAATCCTGTTACAATTTTGAAAAAGAAAACGTATATTTATTGACATGGCTTACTCAGTTATTCATGTTTTTCTTCACATATGTACATTTGCATTCCTAAAATAATTGCTCACGTCACACGATAAAGATGCAATGCCAACCAGCACCATGTCAAGTATCACATGTATCTTTCACACTTCAAAATATTCTCGCTTTGTCTGGTTGTCCTATTTTAGCTCTGTATTTGCGAAAGAGAGATGCCCATGGTGGGGCTGAAGATTTGTTTGTTGTTTAGCCAATTTATCAAATACACTTTCAAAAAAAAATTTATATCAGCTTCATATGGATTACTGCATAAGCAGGTCGTGGATCCGCGTTCCAATACCTTCAAGCTCATTATGATTATTATTTTAATTTTCCGCCGCCTCACCCTTAAAGAGATCCGCTGTGGCCTGACAGGTGTAGGCCACAGGCCTAAATGTCAGAGTTGTGTACATCAGAATATCTCCAGGCTTGTAAGGGCAACACTTCAGCACTGTGTTTATACCTGTGATTAAATTTATCATGTTGTCATGAAGCATTGAATTTGCATTTACAAAATTTCACTAATGTCAAAATGTGCCTTTTATTTTGGAAATAATTTCTGCATGATTCCTGAGTTGCAGGTGACCTACGTTTAAAAGGTTAACAGCCACTTTACTGTATCATTCCACCGGGTACCCATTAACTGCATGGTGAACAAAGTGGACATTTAGACAAATGTCTTTTGTCTAAGCAGAAAAACATGGGATATATGCATTGAAGAGTGCGGAAGGATCGGTGCCTTGAATTACTAAAAAACCATGCTGGCGAACCTGTCTCTATCCCAAAGCCTCACTACCGGGTACCCAGAGTAAACAAAGGCATGTTAGGGTAAACGTAGTCTGCCCAATAAGACACAACATGGGCTACCAATCTAAGAACCTCCCAAACCGCCCACCCCTGCGGTCAACATTGATAAAGGCCAAAGTGAAACGATGATGATGATATCGAACCACGGTGAGGAATTATCTTTAGTGAGTGAGTGAGTTATTATTTAACGTCACATCGGCAATATTTCAGCCATATCGTGACGAGAACATATGTGACATGGAAATATCTTTAGTGAAACAAATATGGTGCTGACAAACCCTGAATCCTGGACTCGAACCCGACCTGTACGAGAATCTAACTTTATATAACATATTGTATACTTCAGGAACAGGAATCCCTGAACCAACCACTATCTGCCTGATACATATACCTTTTTTCAGTTGATGTACAGGGCACCGGCCCATTACAACACAGATAAGCACATAAACTGACCGGCAAAAGAAAGAATACCAAAGGTTACCATTTCTCAAATTTTAAAGAAATATTTTTGAAGTCAAAATATACACTGAAACATGTCGCCCCAACGTGGTAATTTGATACCTGCAGTGAAATTCACTTGCGCATGTCTGACGCCACGTGTTTCTGTAGTATGCGTGTGATATTTATCTCAGGTTGAGTACAGATGTTGCTAACACCACTGTATTATGTTTTGTGTGTCTAGGTAGTCTGGGTTAATGGTAATGACCTCTTGAAAACCATGTATACTTTCTTTTGCCGGTCAGTTTATATTAGTTTCTTTGTTCATGCGTGAATATAGTTAATGCTTCTCGTACATGCATCAATTTCGAAGTAGGTACAGACTTTTAAATGTGAAGGCATGCAAATGACATATATACATAGCTACATTTTGCTTTGTATCAATGTTGTAACTGGACATTATAAGTGCAAATTGTTGCCTTGACAGATGTTGTATACATTTTTGGCTATGTATTTCTGCCTGAAACATGTCTCCAAAGTGTTATTGAATAAGGGCGACAAAAGCTGATTACAATGTCAGACCGGTAGAATCATTACAACTGCTACCTGTGGTCGTATTCTCCACAAACACCAGATCCTCCTGCTCACAATGCATAAAGTCTGCTGCTGCCTCCTGTGATTCCTGCCAGTACGTGTAAGCATTCCTCCTGTACCAGTCATCGGGGTGTCTCTCCATCTCATCCAGGAATCTGAAGTCACCAATAGATATGAAGTTTGTTGTCTTAGGCGTGTGAGTCCATGATGGAAAGTAAATCTTTTTTCAACACTGATCATATTTTCAGTTATGTTAAGAAACAAAATTGATCGAATAACTTGGTGTTAGGTCGCACACAGCCTTCCACAAAAGTAATCCGCTAGAAATTTACCTTCGTTGCACTTGTTGGACACACTTTGGAACAGCACCAAATGATCCATGGTTGAGAAATATCTCGCTTTTCTGGAGGGAAAAACTCTTTTCTAATCTTTGCCCCGTACTCTACAGATTCATTTAGACCTTCCAGTTCCATGCTGTGGAGATAAACGTGGATATTGTGAGTCACATCGTTGTTTCATACCGATGAGATAAGAACTGATTGGTTTGGTTGTGAGTTGACCTTCCAGCTTCATACTGTCGAGATAAACATAGAAATTATTACGCTGTGAGTTGACCTTCCAGTTTCATGCTGTGCAGATACTCATGGATATCATTAGGCAATGAGTTGACCTTCCAGTTTCATTCTGTGGAAATAAACATAGATATCATTAGGTTGTGAGTTGACTTTCCAGTTCTAGATCCTCTACTTTCTCTTCCTACAAGATCGAAAAAGTCTCAATAGCTTGTTTTCGTGCAGCAGTGAGGGGAGACGCGCTTGAAAATCAGACGCCATTTTTGTCACCTTGTCGTCGAGTCTCTTAAATCTATTGTTTAGATCCGAGGAGTTAGATTTTACGTCTTTAAACGTAGCCATCAGCTCGTTGCTTTTACTTTCAGTTCCCGATGTCCAATAATACACAGATATCTTCCTGGTCGTGACATGAATATGAGCAGGAGGTCATGTTAATATTTTAATATGAATGAATGAATATAATACACAGATATCGTCCTGGTCGTGACATGAATATGAGCAGCAGGTCATGTTAATGTTTTAATATGAATAAATGAATATAATACACAGATATCGTCCTGGTCGTGACATGAATATGAGCAGCAGGTCATGTTAAATTTTTAATGTTATTTTTTTGTCTTTTAAACAAGCCTCTATCCCAATTTGAGGAGATTGCCCACAGCGTCAAGGAATTGCATTGGTGTTTTCAGCCCAAGATTGAGCTGCTCCTTGAGGCGACACAAACGATGCTCCATGGGTAAGTTCATTATGCCAGACAGGTAATGCCGTGTGTTGTTTTAACTAATTGTAGGGGTACTGGGATGTAGGGGTAATGGGATGTAGGGGTAATGGGATACAACAATCCAGTTTTAGATTCCGGGCACGGTTGGCTGATTTCGAGCCGTGTGTTGAGCAGGATCCATATGAACCTGGGTTCGTCTCGACACAAGCATCTGATACAAGTATTAGACTCAGACGGATCGGAAGTCGCCGGCACATTGAACAATACCTCTTATTGATTTCAGTAGTGAGTAGGAGAGTAAAGATTTTAAGTCACATCGATAATATTTCAGCCATATCGTGACTGAAAATGAGTTATAATTTCATACTAAATAAGGGTGAATTATATAACCCTGTCAACGAAGGACAGTAAAATAACTAGTTTATCACAGATTTCAATTTTAAACTAGTAATGAACTCTAAAACATTTTAAATATATATGACAATACAATATAAAAACAGGCTATAGATTGCCAACAGCTGAAAGTAGTTTTGATTTCAGTACCTATCACGCTTCTTCGCGCTTTGTCTGGGTGGCCTATTTTAGCTCTGTATTGGGAAAGAGAGATGCCCATTGTGGGACCTGAGAGTTAATTTGTTTGTTTGTTGTGTACGTCCACCCTCTTCCAAAACACGCATGCTCATCCAGGTCAATATTGTTTTTATTTACTTAAACAAAACTTGGAGGCATACGATAAATACACTATTTAATGCATCTACAATCTCGTGACGAGTTCCGTACGAGTGCAAATATCTAGGTTTCAGGTACATAAATAATTCACTAGGCACATCAAATATACTGTCATAATATGTGATTTATTCAAATGTGCCAACGAAAACTGAATTATTTAAACGTGTAATGATTCTGGTTGCCCAGACTTCAATACAACCTTTTCCAGGTTAGGACACAGCATAACGACTAAACGTGTACATTCTCCGTCGGGAAACTGACAAAACACTTTCCACATCCATAAAAAAATGAAAGGAGTCAGTTGTTACAATTCTGACAATATCATCAGCAAGTGTTTATGAATCACTATCAAATATAGATGATACCAGGTAAGACGAATCATGAACCACAGAAAGCACCCGTCGTAAAAACATTCAAAGGCTAGTGAGTTGTTCACCATCGGGCTTCATGGCACAAGATAAAATAAAGATTTGCATCGGACATCATTTTTGTCTCTGATGGATCCATTTTTGAAATTAAGGAAACAAAATCGACCTACCTCCAAAGGGGAGTTTTAGAACAGTTTGGTTTCTTACTGTGGTTTTCTATATTGATAAGCTAAAATCCCAACAGCCAGTACGAAGTCCTGGATCTCCTGTTTGTGTGGAAGCAGATGTTAAGTGATCTCTTTTATCAGCTTCATATTTACACATCCATATAATATTTCTACGCGCGTACCTGTAACGGAGTGATCGGCACAAAATATAATCCGTTGAAAAACACAATCAATTTGTACAATTGTAGCATTAAGAATAGTAGAATTACATAAATAATTGATAAAAAGGAAAAGAAGATATTATCGCAGATAATTGGCAATTTAAAAAAAGCCGTCCTACTTACTATATACCTTTGACCCTACCTGTTGAGCTCGAATATGTCCTAGGGTGTCTCTGTGTGTGTGTGTGTGTGTGTGTGTGTGTGTGTGTGTGTGAGGGGGGGGGGAGTTTTTTATATAATTTGTAATACGAAATGATTATATTACAGATTCATTGTTTGTTCTCTGTCTTTCGGTTTCATCCTGGGATGAGAAGAGTTTGTGTGTTTGTTGTTTAACGTCGCACTCAGATATATTCCAGGTATGTGGCGGCGGTATGTAAATAATCGAGCCTGGACCACACAGTCCAGTGATCAACAACATGAGCATCGATCTACGCACTTGGGATACGATGACATGTGTCAACCAAGTCACCGAGCCTGGCCACCCGATCCCGTTAGTCGCGTCTTACGACAAGCATGGGTTGCTGTAGACGGTAACGTGTTTGTCTGCTTAGACGCTGCCTTAGCATATGCCAAGCAAACATAGGCAAAACGAGACCTGCAAATAGGGTATTGGTTCTTCAGAGAAGGTTAAGTAGTTCCAACCCTCTCTGAACTAGAACTGAAAGAGACCGAGAATCGCCGTTTATGTCGAGAATTGTTCCAACCTCAGGCGTTTGGTGGCTACGTTTTATAACGGTTGAAATGCAATTGATCGGAGATCTCAAAGGGCGTAACATGACTTCAGCTGAAAACATTTAAAATATACTGAGTCAAAAAAGAAACTTCGCAAAATGTAATTTGAAAAATAATGAATAATTTTTCGCTGATGACACATCTATGTATCCGAAATGGGATCCCTATCTTTCGACTCTATAAAAACGTTAGCAAAACCCACCCAAACCCATCCATTCGTCGTGCAAATGACGTTAGTCCCAAATCAGGTTTTGCACGTGCAGTCGATCACGTGATCTTCGCATCGAAGTTTTCTACATATGCACGTGTGTGCATTGGCCTCAAGAATTGAAAAAAGCACTTTTAAACCACAGTTCTAACGGTACTTGAAATGCCACGAATGTCAAATGTGCAACGTGAACGTGCCGTTGGCATGTTGCAAGCGGGAAGATCAGTTATTGACGTCGCAAGAGCAATGGGATGCAGCCGTCGTACTGTGTATGACTTGCGAGGTCGTCTTCAACAAACTGGCACTACTTCTGATAGCCCAAAGTCGGGTCGTCCACGTGTGACGTCACGAGCAGAAGACCGTCAAATCGTCCTACGTCAACTACGTGACAGATTTCTGCCGGCTACACGAACCAGGGCTGAGATGTTTAGAAGTCGACTGTCCTCACAGACCATTCGAAATCGGTAGCGGGTTGCCAATCTCTATTCTCGACGTCCATATCGTGGGCCAATATTGACGCCGTTTCATCAACGTCAACGTCTGCTGTGGGCCCAACGTCACCTCCGATAGACCCAGAGAGACTGGAATCGAGTCGTCTTTAGCGATGAATCCAGGTTTACCCTCAGATTCGCGGACGGCAGGCATAGAGTTTGGAGACGACGTCGTGAACGGTATGCCCAATGTTGTGTACAGGAAGTCGACAGATTCGGGGGCGGAAGTTGCATGGTGTGGGGTGCTTTCTGTAGGAACAACCGTTCCCGACTTCTGGTCATCCGTGGAAACCTCACAGCTGCTGCTTACCACGACCAGGTCCTCACCCCTGAACTTGTTCCTTTCATGGCGGCTCATGGCCCAGGTCTACAGTTCCAGCATGATAATGCTCGGCCGCATACCGCGATGTTGACAGGAAATTTCCTTCAAAACGCTGGAATCAACGTCATGGACTGGCCATTGAGGTCCCCTGATCTTAATCCAATAGAGCACGTTTGGGATGCACTTGGGAGAAGGCTTTGTGGTCTTAGGAACCAACCTCAGAATTTGCAGGAACTTGGCGCTGCCTTGCAAGAGCAATGGCGCAGAATCCCCAACCACGTGTTCACAAGCATCAGGCAGTCGATGAGGAGACGGTGTTTGGCAGTGGTGAATGCGCTGGGCGGCCATACACGATATTGAACTGAGAAATTTCGCATTTTTGTTCTCGTGACTTGACATTCTGTATACCCATGTTTTGGAACGGCGGTGTAGCCTAATGGAACTGATTATGGCACTGTCAGTGTATCACACAGATCTCAGCAATGAAATAATAAAAAGTTAACCATCTTACCATCTCTTGTTCTTGTGTAGTGCCATGAAGAAAGAATGTGATGTTCTTTTTTGACTCAGTATATAATCACAGCTCACGATAACATTTCCTTTCTATA